ATTTGTTTAAATTTGAATTAAATTGTTTTAAAAAAAGTAATTAGGTGTTACTTTTATAAATATGCACATTTTGAAATTTTTATTTACATAGGCTGGGTACACTCCTACTAAGCTATTGAGGATCTAAAAAATATTACATTTATCACTATTATATGTGCTACGTGCTAGAAAATTTGAATTAGTAGAATATATGTTAACGTCTTAGTAGTGTACAAAGATTCAACATGTATATGTGAAAGTAGTAGGGCCATAGAATTTTTTACATGAAAAATTCATAAATGGGAAAAACTATGAGGCCTGATCCTGTTGTAAAATTCACTATATAGCAAGTGATATAAAAACCCACAATTCTTCATTGTTAAAGAAGAGAAAGAGAGAGAACAAAGGTCAAGCATTCACAAAGAGACAATATATGCCTAACAATTTGGCTTAATTTTTTAATAGGGATTATAAAAATAGATGTCCTTAGGCAGACAAATAAACCCAATAACATGTCAAATATTGTCAGTATTTTGGAGATGGTGGCGATTTCTGATGTTGATTGTCAGTGGCGATAATAGTCATCGATAGCAATAGCTAGTGGTGTTCGTCAGCGGCGATGACTGAAAGATGCAAGGGAGTTCTCTTTATAGCTATATTTCTCTTCCTTCCTTTCGTGAAGAAAGAAAGCTTATTTATAAGTTTTTGGGAGTGTCATACTTTATAAAGATAGATAAAATCGTGTCGGAGTGCTCCATTAAATCGTTCATATTGATTCATCCGATCATAAAACATTCGTCAAGCATTTAAATGTCTTAGTGATGTCAGAATAAAGTGATCTTTGGCTAGTTCAATTCGTCTCATCGAGTTGCTCGATTCAATTATAAGCATGCCATATTTTGAGAATATTTGGTTACCCAATTAATATGCTTTGAAGCATCTAAATATGCTTCAATCCCTTTGTTTGAGCCTATTTGGACTCGAATTAGAATGATTTTTGTGTCATTGGGTTCTTCTTGTCGAGATGTTTAGTTTGGCTATAAGGTTTCTAAGATCGGAGTTTGGATGGTCTCAAATTTAATTTTGAAAGTTTCATGTTCAAGAGATTAGCGTATGATAAATGTGATTTTTGGTGACATATCAATATGCATAAAAAATATTCAATATTCATAAATACTCCCTCAACCCAAAAGTAAAGATTCAAAAAATAATATAAATGAATATATATATATATATATATATATATATATATATTAATTTAATTTATTATTTTGAGAGCATTATAGAATATTTGTTTTAATATTTAAATATTTTATTGGATTAACTTCAACCAATCAAAATAATATATTAATAAGACTGAATAAAGTATAATAGTGTGCCAATAATTTAAAAAATATATTATTATACTAATAATTGAAAAATTGTGAGGACAGATCACCAAGGCATGATTTGATTTGATCATGTCATTAAAGCTTTATTGATTTGATGGAATTAAAAAATAGAAAATGAGAAGGATTTGAGAATAAAAATGATAAAGATTTTCAAACTAATTTTGATTCACTTATTTTATTGAGGAGAAATTGATTAGCTTTTTCTCTTTTATGTATTATGTGAAAAGAACCTATAAATCACAACAATCACATAATTAAATGTTATTCATTACACATACAAGATCTAAACACTCTAGTTCCCGAAAGTCTAACCAACAATACAAGCATAGTTTTAATGATTATAGTCATTGTAAATTATTTTATGTCTTTTAGAAAATTACTAAAAATGCTCCCAAAATCTTTTTAATTACTACGGGCACAACACTCCTTCTGATTCTTTGTGTATTTCTTAATAATCTCAGTGAAATAATGAAGAGTCTATTCATAGAAAGCAATTACGCCTTTTTAGTAATTTCCTCACTAATTTGGTTTGCAAGAAATTAACATTGAATGATTCCTTGATTTTAATGCTCCTCCCTCAGGTTTCAATGCCCTAGAAACTTTAATGTGATAACTAATGATGAAAATTCTAATTATATCATCTTTGCTGCTCAAGACCCCTTAAGAAAATAAATATTGAGCCCTACCTAAAGCCAACACACATTTAGGTTAGTAGATGGTTTCTTTTATAACATTTATGTATCAAGGTAGAAGTGAATATGATCATAACAACATATTTTGCAGGAAATTCTATAACCTAAAGTTTGTAAATGATTATCTTAGAAGGGGCCTAAGCAACTAGGAGTCAACCTACAGTTGAAGGTTATTAGATAATCCTAGGATCAACAAATAATAATGATGATTACAATATTTATTTTCTTAAAAGAAAGGAGACTGAATGACTCAATGTCAACATGTGGTGGAGGAAATCATGATAGTTACTTTCTTGAAAGACGGAAACTAGATAATTGGGAGTTGGCAAGTGACTAAAGGTGATTGAGTTGGTCCTCCTAAATTGAGAGGGATGGACTGCAAGATTGAAAATAAGGTGATGAAGATTAACATAGTAGTAGTAGTGCTTACATTGAAAGAAGATGGACTTAATGAAACAAAGTTGGTAGCATCCTTTCCTAAATAGAGGTAGGTTAGATGATCTAGAGAAGAAGGATTATGATAGTCTTTAACCTAGGCATTGAACTTAACAATCAATAAAAAAATTAGCAAGTGATAAAAATGATGTAGGCATTCTACCTTTCGAAGGAAGTGACCATGAATGATCTAAAGTCAATGAAAGTTAATGAAACATTCGAGATTATTTTTATCTTGAACAAAATATCATAGACTACATAATTACTTAAAGTTATTAAATAATTTAAGACTATTACAAAAGTCTTTCTCCGATACGGAGGGGAGCGGAGGCTAAATTATTAAAATTTAATTGGTGATAGAGGTGATTGGGATAATACGTATCCTAATATAATAATTAAGACAATTCATCTCATAAGTGTAGAACGACTAAATGACCTAAAGTTAAATGGTGATGGCAAGAATTAGGGCAGTCGCTCTTATAATTGTTGGGGTTTATACTAGACAACTAGGAATCAATTGAAAACAAAAAACAAAAAAACTTGGAATCGATAAACAATTGGACAAAATTGTGATAGTCTAATGGAGGAGGGTTGACTATATAAAATGGAGTCAATAATATTAAGATAATGGATTGAATCATTAGTGGGGGATTAGTCTTTGAAATTTTACACATAAAGAAGCGATTATATATCCTTTTTTTAGAGCTCTAAACGCCTATTAATGCTTTGGTCGAATATTCAGATATTTTTTAATGAGAAATTCATAATATAAATGAGGAAAAATATATTTTTTGTATAAAATTGTGTTTTTGAATAATTATTCAAAATTATATTATAATAATCCGAATTCTTATCTAAAATAGATTATAACATTATATTGATGAATTATAGGTTAGTTAACATAGAGATGTGCATCTCTACCCTTTTATTGCCCCGTAAATCTTGCAGACAAGAAACAAAAACAAACAACTGACTGTCGGATCCACCAAATTCTGCGTGGTATCTCCTCGTGCTCTATTCAAGATAAAGAAAATAATTAATATGGAAATGGTAAAAAGGAATTACAATGACCATATTTGACCGAAAGTGACAACACCCTGAAAACAGAGCTGTCGACAGACGCTGGCGGCCCAACTTCCTCGGCATCGAGACCTACTTCAGATCCTAAACCGCCGCCCAGAGACAGCTAGCGGCCTCCGCTTCTGTGCCTCTGCTAATTCCTGTTTTACGATTAAACCCACAGCAAGTACCCACCCATCAATCCCTTTTCTTAAATCACACACTAACGCATAAAAAGAATGGCCTCTATATGGGACTTTTAACAATAGTCGGTTAGGGTCAAACCCTTTATTGATAGTTATTCTCGAGTCAGGCCTAGATACAGGCTGGCTTGATTTGATCGATTTTATTAAGTACATAAAGAAAATGCAGTTATTTATACATATATTATTTCTTTTAGTTTATATAATTAACCCATAAAATTTTCCATTTTTCCAAGCTACAACTTGATTTACCAAACTACAACTTGATTTATGAAATAACAATAAAGATGACACTCTTTTATCCTTTGGTTAACTTTTCACCACAGAGGTGTCGAAGGCGGAAAAATTAGTTTGTGCGAACACTAAAAGCTGTCTGGAGCCCAATCATAACGCACCACATCATCCTTTTATTGTATTGCTGCTTGGTATTACTCGGTACAGCTGCTCAGTGCCAGTAGGTACTGTGGCTCGGTATTGCTCGGTACCGCTGCATCCAAACATAGAGCTGTGTCTGACGTCCGCACGGAATAATTTATCCGAAGTATGAGGATAGTTGTGGCAGACAATTGGGAGAAATTTTGCTAGTAAGTAGTTGTTGTGGTCATCTAATTTGAATAACATGAGAAGTGGAGAGGATACTTATAACCTATTACAATGGGATGTTGGATGTCCTTGCACGAGGGCTAGCTTCTACGCAAGCAACAAATTGCACACACACATGCCATGACTAACATATAATTGTTAGAGGCCGAGAATGAACAACAGAAAGAGCAAATGAGATGTCGAAATCTTCACTACACGTAAAAGTAAAAAGAGGGCTAGAGTGTTATTTTAATTGTTATTTAAAAATTTAATGAGGTAAATGTAAAAATAAAATATAAATAACTTTTATGCATATAATCTTTCTTTGTAACAAAATTTTATTGGTTAAACTATACTTGAAATTAATATTTCACTCATAATTTATAAAATCAATACTATTCAATAATTCATAATACTCAAAAAAAAAAAAAAAAAAGACTTTAACTAACATGTATTGAATAACTAAATAAATAATAACTCTGACTAATATTTAGCCTTACAAAATTTTCCTTGCCTTCCATGCAAATTACGCTTCTTGTCCATCCCCTCGTACGCGTGGCCCACCCCTTGTTAACCTGTGCTTATCCCCACTCTCTCACGGGTAACGACTAATCACCCGAATTACAAAATTAACGAAACAAACCTCACAATATATAATATAATAATGTGCCGTAAATAGCGGAGAAATCCACCCTCTCTTCTTCCTAACTCTAATCCGTCCTACTCTTCCCTCTCCGCACTTCTCCCTTCCCCACACAATCCAGTCATGAAATCCTTCGCCGGAACCCGCCTGATACTCCTCCAACCATCCCTCCCCAAGCACGCCACCGCCACCACCCCTCCGCCGCCTCCGTCAGCTCAACACCGCCTCTGGCTCATCGCCCTCATCTCCTTCTTCGCATTCGCCTCCATCCTCACCCTCCTCTCCTCCTCCGCCCGCGAATCCCGCCCCACTAATTCCCTCCTCCGTGCTGCCGCATCCGTCTCTCCCGCCGCCATTCCAGCTCCGGTGGCGGCGCTCCACCCCAACCTCTTCGACGCCCTCCTCCACTACGCCTCCCAATCCGCAGCCAACGGCCGCATGCCGGAACCCGAACTCCGCGCCATCGCCGCCGTCCTCCGCCGCCGAGGCCCCTGCAGCCTCCTCGTCTTCGGCCTCGGCCCCGAAAGCCTCCTCTGGCGCTCGCTCAACCACGGCGGCCGTACCGTCTTCATCGACGAGAACCAGTACTATATCGCCCATTACGAGGAGCGCCATCCGGGCCTCGAGGGGTATGACGTGGCGTATACGACAAAGGTAAGTGAGCTCGGCGAATTGCTCTCCGCCGCGCGGAAGCAGGTCGGCGGGGAGTGTCGGCCCATCCAGAATCTTCTATTTTCTGACTGCCGGCTCGGCATCAACGACTTGCCGAACCATCTGTACGACGTGGCGTGGGATGTGATACTCGTCGATGGGCCGAGGGGATACTCGCCGACGAGCCCGGGGAGGATGTCGGCGATCTTTACGGCAGCGGTGCTGGCGAGATCTGGTGGTGCGGGGCCCACCGATGTGCTCGTGCACGATTATGAGCGGGAGGTGGAGAGGGTTTGCAGTGCGGAGTTTCTTTGCGGGGAGAATCTTGTAGGCGTTGAGGGCCAGCTCGCGCATTTTGTTATACGTGGCGGTGGCGCGGCTAGGAAGGATGACTTCTGCTTCAACCGTACCGCCACGGCGGCGGCGGCGACGACGGCGGCGATGTTGTAGGATCTGGTGTAATTAATTAATTAATTAATTAATTGCAACGCTGTGGGGTTTTTTTTTGTTCGACTTTCTGTAAGGAATTTAAGATAAAAATAATGTAGTTGTTATATCGTGATGATGGGAATGGAAAGCGGGAGAACGGTGGGTGCTTTTCCCTTTAAGCGCCAAATTCTCTTCTTTTTTTGCTTTCATAATTTGTTGGATTTTTTTTACCTAATCTCTTGTAATATTATCTTAACAGATATTTATTGTTTTAATGTTTTTGATTAAATATTTCTATTATCTTAATTTCAATAAATAAAAATTTTCTTCCGTAAACTGAGAAATTATATGAAGAGAATATGTTTTTCAATTTATTTTTAATAATATTTTGCGTGTTTATCTCTCTTTATTAAGCCATTATCAATATAATAAGTTTGAATTCTTAATTTTTTTTTCTCTAGTTTTAGTGAGATTCCTGTTTTTTTTTCTAAAATTATTACAGGATTTCCTCATAGAAAGTAAGTAAGAAGCTTAAAAGAGAGTTTAAAATTTTTAAATTTAGTGTAAGTTATCATTGTTGCGTCCTGGAATATTCGCGGCGGTAGAGAAATATATAGTTTAACGTCTTAGCGTTGTTAATATAAATTTAAAATTTAATAGCTTAAAAGAGAGTTTAATTCCTGAAAATGTTAAAAATTATTATTAAATTTTATTTATATCTAAATTATGCGAGCTCAATAAAAAAATTTAAAAAAAAATTAAAAAAAAAAGACTGTCGGTGGATCACTGGAGTGGAGGCCTTCCACTGTATTAAGGCTTCAACTGCTGAACAGATTCGTGTACGTTTACGTTTTCAACCTTTCTTCACACGAAAGAAGGATCCCAACACGTGTGGTGGCTGGTGTGATTTAATGAAAATAACGTGCTCAGGACTGCAGGAGTGCAGGATGTAACCGAGCACGATTTTTTGGCACGTGGGAAGATGGACATGGGTCAGGAGTGTCTTTCCGATTTTTTTTTTTTTATAATTAATGCTTTTCTTCTCTGCTCTTCACAAGTTTTTTTTTTTCATACTTTTAGAAAAAGAAATTAAAAAATAATTAATTAGAACTTGTTTTTAGTGGCAGGGATGAGAATTAGACAATTTGGAGGAAAAAATATTAGATTATTATGATATAAATTATAATTTTACTTAAAAATTATTAAATTTATTTTAAGATGTTTATTATAGATGAGAATGTATATTGCATCATACTCAAAATAAATTATATAACATTTATGTCTATCTTAATATAATTTACATTAAAATATTCATATATAATTTTTTTTCAATTATAAACATATTTTGATCTTTTTTTAAAAGCAGTTCAAATTTATATTAGTTCATTAAAAATAATTCAAAATTTTGAGGGTTGTTTGATTTACAAAAAAAAAAAACATAATAAAATGAAATATATTTGTTTAGGGTCAAGGAGTATTCGCGGCGGTAGAAAACTATAAAGTTTATCGTCTTAGCGTTGTACGAACATCCGGCACGCAATTAGATAAGAGAAAGGGTCTAGCATTTATGAGACACCAAGATTTTTACGTGGAAAACCCCTGAAAAGGGGGAAAAACCACGGGATCTAGACCAATTTGAATGAATCCACTAGTATTGCAGTCGATTACAAATGAGCCCTTCCTTGGTGGAAGGTCTTAGCTTGATGTACATCTTATGGAGTACATTACATGATGTTAATACAAAGAGTTATTGTTGACATGTTCGTTTGGTCGGAAGGA